TACAAGTAAACCTAATTACTTGTAAAAGAAAACAGCCGAGACTTCCATCTCCGTCTAAAATCTAGTTCGTATTACATATGAATCACATTTTGAAAATGACTGTTAAGCTTTCTGTGACACATTTGACATATTCCATTTTTGTACAGTAAGTAATAAACTGAGTGTAATCTCAATTTTTGTTGCATTCATTACTGTCTTTAATGTCCCTTCGTCTGTTAGCACACAGCTAGTTCAAACATGTAACCATATACTTGTATAAGAAAGCTCGATCTTTTATCTTTTAAAAAGATATTTTTCGTTCATATTATTGTAGCACTCTGTTATTTTCTTCCTAGATTGCATTAAATCAAAATAAATATATGTGGTATAAAGAATATTAATGAAAACCAAATGTTTTGACAATGTTTTTTAAATGATGCTTTTGTCCCATAACGATATAGCAACATTAGTCTATCAAATGGTAGGTAATATGTAGCATTGATCAGAATATACAACACATAAACAAAACGATATACAATGCAGTATGAATCTGTTTTCATTCCTCATGAGTGAGTTTATTAATTTATATCTACTTGCAAAAAGTTCTGATAAAACGACCAATATACACATTTGCTAACTTAAATAGACTTGTATAATAACGCTACGAATTATTTTTACTTTTGCAATATTGTTTGCTACTTTAGTGTTCCAACATGCAACACATGGTAACTTTGATATTCAAATATTAGACAAGGACATATGTATAGATGTTCATCTGATGCAGTTGTATAAGAAACCAAACATGCTTCAAAACGTGTATTTCCTTTACAAAATAATTTAAATAATTTTCCCCTAAATAACATAATTGTTGCAGTACTGTGTCTTGTTTTATCGGTGTTTTGATCGCCAGACCAAAAGAAAGGACTATCTCACCCAGTTTTCTCGGAGGAACTTTTGAAATTCACTCTGTTTCATGTCATCTAACAAATTAATCGTAATCCTGTTTTCTCTTCCTTGTCGAAATGAAGATCTACTAGCTACTGTTTGCCATTCGTATTCAAGGAATTTACAACTTACTACAAAAACATTGATGTGAATCGTCTATGGTACCCATAATAATATCACAAATACCTAATGCATTATCGAACGTGTTCTCGTCGGCACTATGTCTGCTAACATGTAGGGGTACTACAGCTAACCTACGTCACAGACACAGATCACAGACACACATTTTGACCGCCATTTGTACCGCTTCAGTGGTAAAATATCAAGTATTTTACTGAGCTTAAATAAGCCTTAAGTGCACGGAAAGCTAAAAAACATCGTAGATGTGATATATATCAATTATATTGATCAAGTACTTCTAGTTTTGCTAAATACCTCAGTGTTTTGTATTTTATGCGGATAATACGGTCGCACACTTTTCAATTTGAACACGTTACCCGAGAGCTTAAAGTAGCATCGGCAAAGCTTATTGGTACACTCATGTATACAACTCTGTGTCGATGCATTAACAGATCGTGACGGTCACACTTTCATACGAAGATGTGTGTATGGTTTGCTTTATCAGATACACAACAACACTTTACCAATGTACAGCATTCTCATCCTGTTATTGTACAGCCAAACATTCCCAGCTGGGTTATTTCATTGATGTAAATAGAAGAAAGTTGTAGGTAGAGACAATTATGTTATTATCGTTAATCTATTCTCATTAGCCCGAATGTGTCGAATTTTGTGAGCAGTGGAGTCTAGTTAGTATAAAATGAGATGGTTTGCTTATATACATGTACATATATCAAAATATATGTCCATGCAATTGGTAGAATGAGTTTCGCTAGTACAGACTGTTAGTTTCGTAGTAACAGCGTAACATAATTATACACGACATACTTGATGGTACGGAGATTAGATATGGATTTTGTGTGTATCAATAACTTCTTTATCTAGACACACTGATCAGTGAACTAGTTAAGGGACCTAGATTTGTAGGATAAGGGACCTAGATTTTTGTGATAAGGGACCTAGATTTGTGTGATAAGGGACCAAGATTTGTGTGAGTATGGACCTAGATTTGTGTGAGTAGGGACCTAGATTTGTGTGATAAGGGACCTAGATTTGTGTGAGTAGAGGAACATTTTCAGTCTCAATATTTTGGTGCATCTGTGTGTAGGGGCAACTTGTTATTCTGGAAAATTTGGCTTATGCACAAATTAGAACCATGTTAATCTGCACAAACTTTGCCCGTAAAATGGCACCCTGTCAACCTAATCTTTCCGTTAGTGTGAAAAGTTAAACCCTGCTAGTCATGGCGTTTGATGTGTGTGTATGTTGGAACCTTTCTACTGTAGGGACTAATTTATGTAAGAATTTTATTATTTTCTGAAAGGTTTAGCTTTTGTTTACAATGTGCTCTTACTTTTTCAAATACTTCAGTTTTTGCGTTCTTTGAAATATCATTAGTCTGGATAGTTTGGATTCTCTCCGACAAACTAGACTTTTTAACCCACCAATATGCAGAACTAATAACTACTTTTACAGCTTCTTTCCTTTAATGTGCCGCACAGCTAACAACACTGATACTAATCTTTTTGACTCTCCTACACTTGCAAGTTTTAAATGGCGGTTTGATAAAAAATGCTGTAACTGATAGAGAATCTGTTAAAACTGAAGGTGATAGAAGGGCAAACATTATTATTTCCCAACTTAGAAATTATTGTAGTGTTTTAAAGTTTGATTTGCATCATGACCACCTAACTGATAATCCAGTATTAACTTGTCCAGATGAATTGGAAACAGTCTCTCATTTTTTTCTAGAATGTCCTATTTACTATGATTTGTGGATTAATTTCAACTCACTCAGTAATTATGTCTTTGACCATAACCATATCGGTATTGACATTATTTTACGTGGTTCTCCTAGTTGTGAAGGTAATACAAACAGACTAATGCATCGTGATATACATTACTTTATAGGGAAAGATCTAGAAAGCCGTTATATCGACAAAAAACTGTAAACAAAAATATGAAAACAGTTGAACATGGTTGTGAATTTATTTGATTATGTAATAAATATATATTTTCACTTATTTGTTTTGTGCTCCTCTACACAACGTTTTACTCATACTTTTGATAAATGTACATATCGGGTTAATTCTGTTTATTTAATAGTAGATTAAATAGTTACATATAAACAAATTAATACACAGTTTAGGTGGTGATGACCGTTGCAGTACTTGAACACGGACTTTTGGTCTATCTACCTAACTGTATCGAATGGTAAAAAGTAACTCATGTGTACACGTATAATTATGATAATTAATAACGATATTTATGTTTTGTTTGTGTGTGTGTGTGTGTGTGTGTGTGTGTGTGTGTCGGTGTGTGTATGTCCAAGGTTGTATTGGAAGTAATCAAAAGTGAGTTACCTCCCTTTAATTACTTTATCGTTTACATTTATTTACAAAATATCTATAAAATATATTTAGCTAAAGTTCTATAATATTCTTGTAAAACTCTAGCTACCTATGGAAAGAATTTATATAGGCTGGCCTGTTATTCGATCCATTTGACCATAACACCATGTCAATAAAACCTGTTGAAATGAAATGGATAGTTTGGTATGTGCACATGTGAACCGTAAATACATTTGTACTATATTTTATGAGCACTTTGAAAGCATGTTAGTCTTGACACAAGGATTAATTTGTACCTTGTAAACGGTTAACTTTAAAATCTTGTTATTCGGAAAACACATAATTAGCCTTAGAATAAAGAGGACTTTGTGAATGAAAAGGGTTTTTTTTAATTCACAATATTGGCCAGATGGATGGATTCGAACGTGTTATTTCAATTTTCTTAAACTAGGATATCGTACAAACATCTGTCGTCGACACACTTCACGGTCGCTCCATTGTATTCCTCAATTACTGCCTACTGTTATGTAAAGCTTGTAGTGCCCTTTTTGATCATATTACTCCTCCTTAACCTGAAATCAAGGACACTACAGGCTCTTCTACTTAATTTGGTTACCTCGAACTTTTCTGACAATGGTCATTCAGGAACGACTTACTTCTTGAATTTAATATGGGGCCTAATTTATTCAACAGCTAACCATAACTGGTAAGTAAAGTATTATCAGGCCTTTCAAATTCAAATCAAGTACAGTAAAAACACGATAAGTGGGACAATTTTCCAATACCAGCTTTACTTTTGTTGATATTTATTTCATTCTTGTCCTGCGCTACGTTGTTTTCACGAAGGAATTATATTCGGTATTTAAAAGTTGTATTTTGTAACACAAGACTTTATTCTCCTTGTCTTATCCTAACTATCTTCGCGTACATCTGTGATTTGAACCTATTTTGTACTTATTCAATTTTGAAATCGAACTACGGTTTTACTAACACTTTGGTATTTGTTCTTGTTGTTGTCTCTGTATTAGTGGATACTTATCCGGGTTATCCATCTCCCGATTATAATTCATTCAAAGCCAGAGTAAGATGTTAATGATTTAGTTTGTCGGTTTGTCCCTATTCACGAACAGTTGATAACTTCTTGTTGTGTCAACGTGTTCTTTCCCCAGACTTCACCAACTGCTGCCGAATCCGTCAAATAATCCAGTGCTCCAAAATGCGCCAAACTATACATTACCATACTTTTTTGTTAAGATTTGATGAAATTTCGGTCAGAAGGAAAACAAATGCCAACTGATTTTCAGTCAAATAGTCCTCAAACTAGAGTCCCACATACATTTACTCTGTAAATTAAAAAAACAACCAAGAATACAGTTATGCGTTAATTACATTTAATCATTTAGTTCATTTATTTCCCTTTGAAAATCAATGTATTATTATTGACTCAAACATTTCCGTTCTGTAAATTACAAGAAGATTTATGCATAGTATGAAAAATGTGTTTTCAATATAATTGTTTTGTTCAGTGTGATGGTCAAGGATGTTTGATACCTAATTCTATTTTAACCGTGTATAATAACATATACTAGAATACCCAAACATGTTCTACTTCTTCTAATCTGAACAGGATTGTATAACGATGAACATTTCTTTGGTCCTAATGATAAATTAACACAATAACGTGGTGGATAGAGAAAATGAACCAGATGAAGTACGGTTGTGTATGCAGTTAGTCATATCATCCACAGCTTTGTAATTAAGCTCTGAATGCTATGGCATGAACGTGAATATTCATGATGAGTGTCTACATGTAAAACGTACCTCAGGTGTGGCATTTCAACATCTATATAGCCATTGTGCTAATCGTCCTTGCAGATAGAAGCATACCTGTATTTTTCAGCGATGGTGAGTCATATCTATGCTTTGTTACAGTAGTTTTGTCTACTTTTTATATTTTCAAGTGATGTCTTACATTATGTTGTGTATATATTCACAGATAAATTAAACAGGAAGGTAGATGCTACATATATGAGTATATATCAATTTGTCCATACAACTCGAAATTGTGGATTGATATTTTTATTTCTTTATCAATTGAAAAATGATCCATAATATTTTGCATAGGATTCCCTGCATAATGACAGCTCTTACGGCACGATGAATTATGAGAGATTTCAGAACGAAGCCTGCATCGCGAGAAGATCCTCTCCACTTAGAGACCTACGTAAGTGTTATCGTATATTATATTCACAGGCATGTTCTATGAAGTAACAGGCAGACTATTGAAGTGTGTCTCATTGAGATATACTGCGAAAGGTTAGTTTAATAGTGCAAATTGTCACTACGAGTGATTACCATTAAGTTCACGGGGCAGGAAGGTTGTTTTTTTTATCAGTTCCGATATCCCCGTTCAGGATGATATGGCTCGAAATCAGCAGCTTTAGAAAATGATGACTTTTGTTATTGAGGAAATAACTATTTTGACTTCGTGTCGCTTTACCTCTGGATTTAAATCAAAAATACGTTATGGTGAAATAAAAAGTGTGTCAAAGTGCTTTATATTATAAATTTATGAACATATTCAAATTGAACTGGTAGTACAGATACTTGTTTATCTAAAAATCATAGCTGAGATGCTCGATGCCAGGCCAAACGCCATCAGCATGGCAGGAGGTCTGCCCGACCCAGTCACTTGTCCGTTCATAGAAGCGACGATTAAACTGAGGTAAGACGCCAGGTCTTTTTAACCTTTTAGGAATAGAGAATAAAACTGACAGAAGCTGATTGATATGTTTACTGGTGTGTGAGGGTACAAAAGGTAGTGTGAGGAAGTAGGCGGGGATAAGTGTGAGTAGGAATATATAGTATCTGTAAGTATATATAAAGGAGATGGTGTCTATCCATATATGAATACTAACTTATATATTTATAAAGGAATACTAGGATATGTAAAGATACAGTAAAACTAGGTTATCTATGTAAATATACAATGCATACTAATTTATGAGTTTATATGTACAATGTATATAAAACAAACAAGGGTATCTATGTGAAATGAATATTAATAGATATATATTAATGTATGAATACTAGTATTTGTTCGATGCAGTGTTATTACGACAGGAAGTTTATGTATTAAATGTTCGGACTAATTTACATAAAACACTTTATATTATCAGTATTGATTTTGTACTAAAAAGTATAATATTATCTGTGTTTGCCTGCCGTTATAGAGAGGTCATTGCCTCTTAAACATAACGTAACATTGTGCAGAATACATTTCAGTATGTATGTTTTTATTAAACAGAGATGGTTCACAGTTGCAGATAGACAAGGACGAAATGAAGTTTTGTACGCAGTACTCCAATACAGAAGGGTAAGATGATGTCAACATTATTTATCTAGCTTTCAGAGGTAAACTTATATCTTAAAGTTGTTTTGAGAGAAAATTAATCTGATACTGGTATCAACCAATCAAAACTCCAACACAACCAATGAACTTTGATCGGATCCCAAAAATTTACGTGTTAATTAATTGTTGTTTATATCCTTCTGTCAGCTTTCTTGCCCTACGTCAGTGGTTTAAAGAACTACAGAGGAGGGTACATAATCCCCCGGCAATGGAGGACTCGACTCATCCTGGACAGACGGATGTTATCATAATGAACGGGAGCCAGGACGCGTTGTGTCAGGTAACAATGTATTAAAACTAATATTTAACCCTTAACAAGCTTCTTAGAGAGTTGTGTAAACCGCGATATTAAGCTAACCAACCAGCCATTAATCCAACCTACCAATCAGCAAATACCCCAACCACGTCTGTCGGAGTTTGTGGTACATGATTGTTTTTAAAAATAAAAAATGAACTTTTATGTTTTCTAGCATTCCCATAGTGAGATATCTCCAAAATCACTAAAAACACACCTAGCACACTTAATAAATCCACTTAAAAGTTTGTTAAAAGTAAATGAGTGTTTTGTGTTGACAGTCACTGGATGCTATGGTATCCCCTGGAGATAATGTACTGATTGAAAGTCCATCGTACCCCGTTCCAGTCAGTATTGTAAGTCAATGATGCTAATCGACATTCAAGTTAACAATATTCATGTTATACGTTTATTGATCTCAATTTACATGTGCACTAATTGAAAATACGTGCAACACTGAACTGATGAAAATATGGCGAGTACATGATTTTAATTATCACCTAGCTAATACCATAAAATTCATTTGATGTATGTATTTAGGGATTGTTTGACTATTCAATTTGTTTTTGGTTCTGGACGAGATAATCGAACTCCCAAGCTGTCTCGTAAGTCACCTTTTAAGATAATGTTTTGTTATCTGTATTAAAAATAAGGAAACTGCGTCTGTTGGTCATTTTCAGTTACAACCCCTTGGATGCAATATGTTACCCGTCGAGTCAGATGCAGATGGTATGGATCCAGACAAACTACGTCACATCCTGTCCCGGTGGAGTCCCGCAGACGCAAAGAATCCTAACAGTGACATACCTAAAATACTGTACTGTGTCCCTACAGGAGGAAACCCCACTGGATCTAGCTTGACCCTGAAGAGAAAACAAGAAATTTACAGGCTGGCCCAGGAGTACGATATCATGATCCTTGAGGACGACCCGTACTATTACATACAGTTTGCTGAGGTAAAGTTATGGGATGTATGCGGGTGTATTTATCCCTAGTTATTAATGCTTATATACATAATATATATAATAATAATAATATTAATAATTGTATTGCTCATTTATAGTTACATAGTAACTTGAAGGCAAATAATAAAACAACAAATATACAAAGAAACTGCAATAGTGAACACTATATAAACTTATACAGAAGCCAGGCCCACACTCCTCATTTCACGTGACTGTTTTATATTTAAGCACGAGTCAAGTATAAGTTGCATATTGTCAGAAGACAAAATGTGTATTTGTGTCTAGTATAGAATAGTTTTGATTATATTTACTTAAGTAGTCCTTTCTCAGCTGTGCATTATAGCCACACCTGAAGAAGAAGTGCCTCATCTTCTAGAACAATATCTTCATACAAGAGTAACTTATTTGTATCTGTCATCGATTGTAGTTTCTTGAAAACGTTAGTTTCAAATTCTTTAAAAATGCTAGTTTATATAACTATCAGATTTGGCATTAGTGTTTGCATATCTTGAATTCAAAGTCTACTTTGGTATGAGGTGGCTTGTATATCGATATGTTAGTTATTTACCATATAAAAGCTGTAAATGGCGTACATTTCACCCAATTTTGTCTAATTTTCATATATATATTTTTTATTAAATTTTAATATTTCTTATTAGACATTAGTTCCAAGTTTCCTGTCCCTAGACGTTGACGGAAGAGTGATGCGATTCGACTCGCTCTCAAAACTCTTATCACCGGGGTAAGTTATGTTCTTATTATTACTCGATCCGACTCTAGAGTAAACACTGATATACTATTTTCATAGATATTTTATGTTAAAATCTGACTCAGCGTTTGGTTGAAATGTATATTACCACATATCCAATTTGACTTGCAAAATCGTTGTGCTTACTACACTATACATTCATTGAAAGTATAACTATCAATGCTTACTTCACTAGACATTCATTGAAAGTATAACTATCAATCCTTACTTCACTATACATTCATTGACAGTATAACTATCAATGCTTGCTTCTCTATACATTCATTGAAAGTATAACTATCAAGGCTTACTGCACTATACATTCATTGAAAGTATAACTATCAAGGCTTACTGCACTATACATTCATTGAAAGACTTTACTATTAATGATTACTTCCCTATACATTCATTGAAAGTATAACTATCAATGCTTACTTCACTATACATTCATTGAAAGTATTTACTATTAATGATTACTTCACTATACATTCATTGAAAGTATAACTAACAATTCTTACTTCCCTATACATTCATTGAAAGTATAACTATTAATGATTAGTTCACTATACATTCATTGAAAGTATAACTATCAATCCTTACTTCACTATACATTCATTGAAAGTATAACTATCAATGCTTACTTCACTATACATTCATTGAAAGTATAACTATCAATGCGTACTTCATCATAATTATTTTCATTGCGACTAAACAGCAAAACTTTTTATAAATAAGTTGTTTTAAAATAATCTCCGTTGCAAAACAATGGCCACTACAATGATATACAATAATATACAATGATATACAATGATGTACAATGATGTACAATGATATACAATGATGTACAATGATGTACAATGATGTACAATGATATACAATGATTACAAATGTAACCGTTTTCTCCCATATGATATACATTTTACAGGGCGAGACTGGGATTCCTGACGGGTCCACGACCTCTGGTGCAAAAAGTTATATTCAAAATCATGTCTTCAACAATGCATGCGAATGGAATTGCACAGGTAATGCGTCATATAATACAATAACTACCCATCCTAAAGCTGCATCCTATACAAAATACAGTTCTGGTTTGAAATTTGGACATACTCATTATTAGTACTCTTTTAACAATTTTGTTTAAAACTTTTAACAATTTTATCGCCTGGTTGACGTTTTAAGGCAAAACCAATATATCATTTATCCTATAATCGGGCTTTATAAGCAGTACTTTGATCGCCATATATAGATAAATGTGTACAAATGAAAAATGGTCACCAAAAGCAAGATTGAAAACAATTTTTGGAACCTTTTATTGCCGATGATGCATAATTTTGTCAATTTTAAAATTGAAAATGAATGATACGGAAAAATTAAAATAACATTAACTAGTCACATTTCTTTCTGAAACAACAGTAACAGAACAAAACAAGCAAACAACAATGATTTAAAATTATATTAAATACTTTTTCAGATGTTCGTCCTTTCAGCTCTAAACAAGTGGGGGCACGATGGATTTCTTGCTCGTGCTAAAGAGATCAGTGATCTGTACCTAGAGAAAAGTCAGCAGTGTATTAAATACATGAAGAAACATTTAACAGGTGAGAATAATTCCGGAATAGAAAGTCGACATCCTATTTTACGAACCTCCTATTATATGTGGTAAATGTCTTAATGGCAGGATAACCTGTGATGTACTAACGTTTACCAAAGCATACTTTTTCATATTTAACAAAATATCCATGCCCCCGAAGTAAAACTTTGGATTCGATGTATTGTAAAACATGTCTATCAAGGCCGTCAAAACAAACAAACAAACAAGAAGGTTTTAAAGACACTCGTTTGATATAAATGGTTTATTATTATGTATGTAATCATTTTGAGCTTCTTAAACAGGTACTTATAGAGAGTTTGGTGGGTTAGGGATATATATATGCCAGATAAACATCTAAACTTGCAACCAAAGATGGCTTGTTAAAGTGATTATTATTGTAAAGTATGTTCTAATGTCTAAATACCAAGGTAACTCGATACGCAAATAGATACTGAGATGAAATCGGAACAGGAAACACGAGTCCCACAAAATAAGAAGATGAAAACAGCCGCCTAGTCTGAGTCAGCTGTTCTTGCATGTATGTGACTCCCGTGACGCTAGTAGAGGGCCGTAGCATACCAGGACGCACAAGATATCAAAAACGTGATTGATAATGAAAATTAAACAAATCCTTCAGTTACCATGTGGTCTTGCCTTCGTTTATAACTGTGTCAACTTTGTCAACTGTGACGCATACTCATATATTTTCGAGTATTAAATGTTAACAACTAGACATAGGAACTTATGTCAGACATGTGCAGTAATTGGACTAAACAGTGCTCTGTTTTCAGCTTCCGTCATAGTAGTTGTCATTGTAAATTTATTTACTACCTATAACGATACTGAGACCTGATTAATACTTCGTTTTGTGTCTTTTCAAGCGTAGGTCTTGCAGAATGGACGGAGCCTACTGGAGGAATGTTCATCTGGATAAAAATTCTCGGTATCACAAACACGACTGATTTGGTTTTTAAGGCTTACCTTAAGGACGTCCTCTTTGTCGGCGGAAATGTCTTCCATGTCGATCGCAGTGCCCCCTCTGAGTACATCAGGGTATCTTTTTCTCTCGCCACATGTGAAAACATGGACAAAGTAAGTTTGTAAATTGTAAATAGCAATTTTTTACAATTTGTTTTCTTTACAAAATTCATGGTGAATTACACGAAAAGCAAAACTGATTTGTCTGTAAATCTTGATGTGTGAGAACTTGTCAACTTTATCAATAATACAGTCAACATATGTATATTTTATAGTTTTCATTAGTTCACGTTTGTTTCTTTGCAGGCTTTTTCAAGATTAGCAGAGTGTTTGAAGGAAGAACTACCTCCAAAGACATAATTTATTAAGACAAACAAAAACTTACATCAGTCTGTATATAAATAGGTATAGTGTATAAAGGATGAGCATGTACCAGGATAAACGTTCCTTGTAATTAGTGGAGATGTAAATGATTAATCAATAATGTGATTTACATGAATAATTTATTTATATGTCTTATAATCAAATAACCCATTGCAATTTGATGAAAAAAATGACGCTATGTAATTGAGGATAAAATAAATAAAACATTTATTTAGCCGAGAAGGATGAATCCACAAAAATGCACAAGTAACACACAATTGAAGAGAAATATCCTGTGCAATGTAGCAGAAATAACGGATTATACAGCATTCCATGTAGCACCGCATAAAGTATCCCATTGTAAGCTGCAGACAACATCCCCATACAACGTAGTCAATTATAGAGCTATGCTTACAGCTGTGGATGACAGGTTTACATCATTAGTTAAATCTGACTTTACTGACACCTGGATTTACTGACACCTGGATTTATTGACACCTGACCTGACTAACAGCTGACCTTACTGACAGTCGACTTTACTGACACCTGGATTTACTGACACCTGACTTGACTAACAGCTGACCTTACTGACAGCTGACTTTACTGACATCTGGATTTACTAACACCTGACTTGACTAACAGCTGACCTTACTGACAGCTGACTTTATTGACACCTGACTTTATTGACACCTGACTTGCCTGACACCTGAATTTGCTGACACCTGGATCTACTAACACCTGGATTTACGAAAACCGATCTTTACTGACACCTAGATTTACTGACACCTGGATTTGCTGACACCTGGTTTTACTGACACCTGACTTTACCTGCCTTCAATGATATACGGTATTATCTGACAGAAGCTTCGTACAGAAAACAACATAATTTTTACCGTCACGTAGTAGTATGGACACTCTGTATTCCTAGCAACATACATTATGTTATGGTTGAGTTCACGGCAAAAAAGAGACCATATTCCGACATTTGGCTTTAAAATCATACTTCAATATCTGTTTTTCACTGAGTTTTCTTTCTAAATTATTTAAAATTATATATTTATTGATTAAGGTCCCGTATGCATGGATTGTTATTTGCAAATCATTGCCATATGATTAAATTAATTTAAAAAAAAAAGTGTTTTCGTGCTTTATTATTAACAAGATAAATATAAAGTTTCTAGCATCCTAGACTACAAGCCACATGTTGTAAGAGATGCTGTCTGGTTATCTGTACTGTATGTAGTCTTATTTGATTTTTGTATTATATGTATATACAAAGAAGAAATCTGCATCGCTTTCATCTCTCCAATGAGATTCAATGATATATATAGATATTATTTCAAATAAGAATCTGTTATACGGCGTTGTTCACGTTTTTGTATTCCGTTGTAATATGCTCTTTGCTTTGAGTCAAACAAAGTCTCCACGGACCTAAGATGTTAATACATTTATCTTTGTTTGTAGGTACCTACAGGTTTAACTTTTGGACTTTGCATTGTCTGCTCGTTGTGTTTCATACCGATCACCCCCATTTAATCATAATTGGTGGTTTGCTAATAAAGACAATGACACCGAAAGTCAAACATTATGGACAAACGCATACACTAAGCTACAGAAGGAAAAAAATAATAGGTTCTAATATACAGGAAACCATGATATACTCAATAACATGAGGATATAATTTACACAGATTCAATACATGTTACACATCGTATCACGCAGGGGGGATATCATAGAAGAAATACGTGTTAAACCTATGAAAGCCATGTTCTTAAATAATAAACAATGTACATACATAAAAATGTAACATGGAGACCGTAAGACCTAAATATAAATATGTATATAAATGATGTCTTTTGTGTTATTTGATTATCGTTTTATCAATTATATTGATAAAATATAAGAACTGCTACAAATATCAGTCAAGCTGGTCAAACATTAACAGTACATTCTGTTTATACACTGACACTATTCTGCTATCCTGTCGTCCCTTGCTGTTGTCAAGCAGACGCAGAAATCTGGCAATTGTTTTACTGGTGGTAAATCTAATAAAAAGTCAAGGATCTGCATTGTATTTCTAGATCATTTAAAGAATAAAGTTACGTGCATGTCGACATTGAGTCTATGACGTTCATTAAGAATAGTTATACTGTCTACACTCTCAGCATACCTTGTTTTTTTTGTGTAGCCTTTGACAATACGTCCAATCGAAAGACATTTGCTACCTGTTGCATTCTCATATGGTCGACCTATGTGTATGATAATGACCTGCATTTCGTATTACCTGAGATAGAGCCGGTCTCCAGTCCCGATGTTTGCAATACAACTGTCTTTACTAAGTCTCGCTATTATGATAATAATTTCGCATTCATAAATGATTTTATGCCTACTCAAACATAAAACTCAACGCCAATATAGAATTGAACGAGGCCATCATAAGTTGACAATTTATTTTAAATGACATCATAACACAAACTATGAGAATGATGTTTACTGCTATGAAAATGATGTTTACTGTCAATTTACATCCTTAGGTCGGGATTCGACAGAATTACGCCAACATATATATATAGAATAAAAAGCAAACAATATTAAAGGGTGGCATGTAAGAGTTGGTTTTTCAAAAAGGCAAATTTGGTATAAATTTCTAAAAAACAATATAAAAGGGTGGCATGTAAGGGTGGGTTTTTCAATAAGCCAAATTTTGGATAAATTTCTAAAAAGATGCTGCCTCAAAATGGTGCCGTTGACAATTTTCTTACCTTACATAGTTTAGCGCAATAACCAGCGCTCTGAAAACACATATTTGCGTGCTGTTTCAGTTCTTTATATATCACTGCTTAATTACAAACTTCCACAACTCGCACTTCGACGATTTGAAGAAGCCAGGATTTATTTGCTGATATAGAACTTGTGTAAGTACATTGAGTTGTGGCGTGGTATTGGTGATAAACCAGTGCACAGTTCGATAGTTTATACCTAGAAAAAACTTTTGTAACTATCATCTTTCCAGCAAGCAACTACATTGTAACAAGAGGTAAGATTATTATTTTTCATATCATTCCGGCCAGTGATTGGCCTGGAGTGCATCACGTGTCCACCGATAAAACCGATATTGACTTTGAGAGCGTGATTTTTGTTGAAGGACTGGGTGTTTCTAAAAATAGAAATATAATGTGTCCCCAAACATCGCACCGTCCCGCTTCCGAAGCTCTTTAGTTGTTTTTTTCAGATTGCTTACATTACTGTTTTGAAAAAACAACAAAACCAAATATAACATTTAACTTGGGTCGATACCTAGATTTATCGACCCGAGAATAGATATATTGACCTGGAACTGCATCCACTGTTAATATATCTTTTCTCGGGTCGAAAAATCCAGGTATCGACCTCAAACAAAGGCTTTAATTGAATAAGATTTTATTGTATAGGTCTTTCAAACAAAACGATATGGGAAGTAGGAAAAGTCTATCAAGGCCTTCTGCTTATAATATTTATAGTAGAAATATACAGCCTAATGTAAATATATATAAATATTAATATGCAGCTATATTATTGAATCATCGATTGTTATAAGTTATATGGAGATTTTGCTATCAATAACGGCCAGTCGGTCGGAGATGAACGGGAGACCCCTGCGCTCACTGACAAAGCTATATAAATAGTATTGCATGTTTGTTAATCAACTACTTGCATATTGACAATAATTTGAGAAAAACTGTCAATTCGTATCATAACAAAACTGGGCCAATATCGACGAACTGGGCCAATACGTGATAAACTGAGCCAATATCGATAACGCGCTAATCGAACGCACGCCATATTATTCGGTACATTTCTATACTTATCGGGAGTGTAATAAACGCGAGCTGTGTAAAACTAGCTCCGCGCACGCACAGTTGCGTATTTTACTTCAGTAAGTTTAACTAACATCAATATAAAATATTATCAATGAAATTAGTTGATATATTTACATATGATTTATTGTATTAAATTATACATTTTAAAAGATTGGTATAAGAAAGCATATATTACTATATACTAAAATGGATGGAATAATAACGAGTTATTAACCTTTCCTAATGAGACTCGAGTGTTCCGACGACCCCTGGGGAACTTAGAAAATTCTGTGAAGTTGCTGGGATTAATTATAAACGACAGTTGGCTTTGTTGGTCTAAAGGAAATAGTTCTTATTGGTGAGAATCACTGTCGTTTATTAGTTTGTTGCGCGTATTTTTTAACCAGAATGAGACAAATGAAAGTAAGTTGTTCAGGATTTATATGGTGCTGGTCCTACTGAAACTGTGTAATGATGCCAAACTCGGTAGGAGCGCAGAATCAGTCACCTCATACTCAAATATAAAGTTAGGTTTAAAAAGAAATTTCGATTTATGTTATTGTTGTTCATATACAACATCGTTAAATTCTATTTTGGTTTTGTTTTGGGAGGGGTGTGTATGTCTGCCAAGGCATGTTCATGATTTTTTATCTGTTTTTCATTATCAATAAGGAGGTCATGGTTTAGAACTGTGATTGACCTGTAGATAGTAGAGGTATGCCATTTGTTCCAAGTTTCAGGTTGATAATTTGCTGAGTTAGTTGATCCATCATTTATCATGCAAAAGATATGATGATGTAAATGAGGTTGGTGATGATGATGATGATGATGATGATGATGATGATGATGATGATGATGATGATGATGATGATGATGATGATGATGATGATAATGATGATGATGATGATGATGATGATGATGATGATGATGTTGATGAGGTTGGTGATGAATTTCATCATGACACGATGATGAAGATGATGAGGATGATTATGATGACTGAGTGTAAAGATCATGATGTCTTTTTATTGTTTTTTTTATTGTGTTCGGTAATGGCACAATGAGGATGTATTCAAGGATCAATAAAATATCATTACCTGTGTCTTACTGCCAATAATAATGCATGCATCTTCGACTGCATTTATACTGAGGTGTATGTTTATATCTTTCCTATGAATTAACATTTCTGTGTAAACATATCTGCATTAAACAAACCAACACAAACTTTCTCCAATACTATGCTATCAAACTCTATTTAAGAAAATATGATTTCCTGATACAAAGACCTTCTTACTTTATTATACCTCTCCTGTTTGACATATTTTTTAAGAGTAAATTTATAATTGTATCAACTTTGGTGAGTTTCAGCTATCAAATGTCTTCTTTTATAACAAAACTGAAATAGAAAATATTATATTGCATGGACTGAAAACGTGACTGCATCGTCATAGTAAGATTCACCAGTTATGTTTCAAAGCTCTCTAAGCATCGAAGCAAATAGATGTCATTCAAACCTCTTGCAAACTACAGCCATAACAACCACATTCAGAAGAAAATATTTGACAATTATCCTATTAGATCTTATTTTCCTCACTTAAAATTAAAACATGCTAGTGATGCGACACGAGTGTATTTTATGTGTATGTAAAATTTGAGAACATGAAAGACTGTTTACTGTCAAAATCTCCATATAGATCTAAGTTTATGTCGCCTCATAGAACAAAGCATGGTTTGAATGATTACACAAATAGGTGATATAACAAAATGTTTTAATGTGTATGATTCATTTGAACAAGAGACACAATTGGCCTGTATCGCTCACCTGGTGTTATTAGGTCTCGGTCTGTCACATTGACCCTTGGCCTTCGGCCTTGGGCCAATATGACAGACCTAGCCTTTATAACTGAACTGGGCCAATATGGAATTAGCTGATTATCAAGACCCTACAATATGGAGATGTATATCGGATATTGAGATATATATGGCAAGTCGTCAACACGAGTGATGAGCAAATTGTTAAAGTAAATTGGGCGGAAAGAATTCCTTAGTAGTAGCATAATATAATAACGCAATAAAGTGAAGCAAACAAATGAAGCATCCGAAACGATAAATCTACTTTATCTACCAAATATTGGATATATGTTAAGTCTTACAAAAAATAGCTTTAACAAATATATGTATTTTTAATTGCTTTTATTTCTGTCCCATTTTCTAAACTTTCTTTTTATGTTTTATTTATTTCTCAATAAAAAAAGCAGCAATATTTGAAATCTTATCGACTTAATTCGGGCATAAACGTGAACATAAAGTCTCGCAAAACGAACAATGTGTTGTTTAAACATTGTAAATAAGCATAATAATGTAACAAAAATACAAAAAAAACATATTACAATGGGAATGCTGTTATCCCAACCTAACACCATAAGCCTGGCAGGAGGTCTGCCCGATCCAGATACTTTCCCTTTCCTAGAAACTACGATTAAACTGAGGTATTTTTTGTTTATTTTAACCTTTATTGCATTGAGATTAACGATGTCATTAGTTGGTTGATGGTTGATGGTGGATGGAGGTGTGTATTGTTTTGTAAGGTAGTGAGCCGGGATGGGTATGGATATGAATACTAGTATATGTATGTACATAAAAATATTAATATATGCATGCATATTTAATAAAAACAAGTATATGTATTTATTTATGAAGCGATGATATGCAAGTTAAGCGTGAACTGTTATTGTATCTTTTCTAAACGATAGCAAAATATTCAAAGATGTAAAAAGTAGCATGGACAACACAATTGTGATACTTGGTAATTAATTGTTTTGAAAGTATTTGGTAAGTTGTTTAATCATTATCTTAATTGTTTAGCCCAAAAAAACATACCAAATTTTTCAAAGCTGTTATTATCTAACCGAAAAAATATTGGTACTGTATATAATAATTGTATATGTGAATGCATTACCATTTGTTTTATTTTGCAGGG